GAGCAGCCACTGCACTCCAGTCTGGGCGACAGAGTGAGACGCCAACTCAAAAAAAAAAAATACAGTCACCTGAAGGGACAGGGCTTCTGTCTCCCAGTCTCTGGGAGAGGATTAAACCCTGACTTCCATAATAACCAACCTGCACACATGGCCGATCTAGTCACATTTACACTGACCAAGCCTTTGTAATATTTCACTGGGGTTCCACTGGCTCCCCTTTCTATGCCCTCACTCTCCCTTGGAAATACCCGCTCACCTCGGTGTAGACCAGAAGGGAGCTCAGCTCTTCCCACTTCTGCCAGTAGCTCCTGAGTAAAATCTGTTTCCTTCGCTTTAATTACTGTCCACCTGTGTTTATCTTTGACAGCCTGTTAGATAAAATGTATTTAGGAGGCCACTGGTTCTCTTTGTTTTTTGTTTTTGTTTGTTTTTGAGTTGGAATCTCACTGTCGCCCAGACTGGAGCGCAGTGGCCGCTCCCGGCCACCGCAGCCTCGACCCGCTGGGCTCCGGCGATCCTCCCGCCTCAGCCTTCCGAGTAGCCGGAACTACAGACACACGCTACCACGCCCGGCTGATTTTTTTGATTTCTTGTAGAGATGAGGTCTCGCCAAGTTGCCCAGGCGGGTCTCGAACCCGCGGGCTCAGGCCATCCACTCACCTCGGCCTCCCAAAGCGCGGGATGACAGGCTGAGCCACCGAGCATTTTCTAGAAAGAGTTTTCTGACTCCGTCAATAGACGATGCGTCTTAGAGATGCCAGTTGCCAAGTGCTACTTTTCCAGCAAAGTGTCAGACATCTCGTGTTCATCAGCAGGCGACCTTTCCCGCCACTTCAGACACGTTCTTCGGATTAAATGGGGTAGTGTTACAGTTCCTGGCACGCAGCTGTTTACCATGCTTTGTGTTTATTGAGTTTATTATTCTCAGGTATGGCATACGTTTTTAAAAGCAAATTATCACAAAATAAGAGGAGTAAGCTAGGTACGGTGGCTCACGCCTGTAATCCCAACAGTTTGGAGGCAAAGGCAAGAGGATTGCCTAAGCCCATGGGTTTGAGACCAACCTGGGCAACATAGCGAGACCTCATCTCTACGATAAATTTAAAAAATGAACCAGGCATGGTGGCACACACCTGTAGTTCCAGCTACTTGGAAGCGAAAGGATTGCCTGAGCCCAGCAAGTCGAGACTGCTGTGGCCATGAGCATGCCACTGCACTCCAGCCTGGGCAACAGAGTGAGACTCCAACTGAAAAAATATATATATTATGAGAGTAATTCCCCTATTGGAAATATACCTGGAGGGACTCAAATCATTCTACCAAAAAGATACCTGCACATGCATGTTTGTTGCAGCTCTATTCACAATAGCAAAAACACGGAACCAACCATGCTGCCCGTTGAAGCTGGGCTGGATTAAAAAAATGTGGTACATATACACAATGGAATATTATGCAGCCATAAATAAGGACTAACATAAGGACTTTGCAGCGACTTGGATGGGTTTCCAGTCAACTATACTCGATGATCTATCACAGAAACAAAGAACAGAGTACCATATGTTCTCACTCGTAAGCGGACCTTGAACAATTGTCATAATACTATAAGAAAGGGATTGGCAGTAGTGGGAAACTGCTTGGAGGGAGGGGATTGGCAGTTGAGGGAAACTGCCAGGGGAGGGAGGGGCACACTTCATCCGCAAGGGCACCTGCATAATCAACGTTTGTATGCCTAACGCTGAATTGCACCCCACATCTTTAAAATAAAAAAATTAAAATAATAATCAAGAGTAACCTAACAGTACTTATCACTATATTTTAAAAGTAAGCTGTGATTACATTTTAGTAATTTACTAACAGTAACAATTTGTAACACATTTCTGTCTGTAGAACATAGCATCACCAGGAACTTGCTAGAAATGCAGAATTCTAGCCGGGCTCGGTGGCTCAGCCTGTAATCCCGTGCCTTGGGAGGCTGAGGTGAGTGGACTGCCTGAGCCTGCAGGCTCGAGACCCGCCTGGGCAACTTGGCGAGACCTTATCTCTACAAAAAATCAAAAAATCAGTCGGGCGTGGTAGCACGCGCCTGTAGTTCTGGCTATTGGGAAGGCTGA